GCCCTATGGGAGTTCCAGCTCCTTTTTTGGGGGTCTAGACTGCAGCCCTTACCTCTCACCCATGGGGTCCCAGTTGGGCGGACCTGGTTCTTCTCTCAGCCCCCTCCCTGCTCCTGGCATGGGGCCCCACTTGGGCCAGTCTCCAGCCTCCCTGTCTGGTCAGAGTTTTGGGGCTGGGGGCCTGGGCTTCAGCCCTGTTGACTGTCTGGATTACAAAGACCCCAGCAGCACCTGGAAACTCAACTTTAGCACAACAGCTGATTGCCTGGATTACAAGGATCAGGGCTCGTGGAAATTCCAGGTGTTATAGATGAGGGAAGGGAGAGCTAGGTCCTTCCCTTCTCCAAGCTGAACCTTCTTTCTGAGCCAGGAGACAGGTGGTTTGTGGAAAGAAAGCCTCTCAATTTGGATTCAGGATCCTGGTTGCCCATTTGACACCTTTGTAACCTTAAGCGATTCTCTTTCCTTTCTGGGTCTCCAATTCCCCTGTAATTTTGGGGGCACAGCTAGATGATCCCCAAGGTCATTCCTAGCAACTTACAATGGAAGGTAAAAGGTGTGTCTGGTTTTGGCTGGAGACAAGGAAGGATCATCCTGGCTCATTGTGACCTTGGATATCCTACCATGCTTTAATTTAGAAGAAGGAAAATTCAAAAATAATGGGGTCTACCCCTGAAAGGCTTTAGATGACTGACTAAACCCTCTCCCTGCCCAAGTAGGAAAGGACTTGATTTTCACAGAACATTGGGCAATTTGCCTCTCCTTGGAGTATTGGGTTTTGGAGCCAGCACCCCATCTGAATCCAGACTCTACCATTTACAGCACATGTGTCCTTGGGCAGTCACTTCCTGCTTTCAAAGACTCTGGTTTCAAAAAAATCTTCCCAACCTGAAAAAAAGCCCACAAAATCTCACTACAGACTTCAAAGGGCCAAGCTCAGCTGTAGGCAACCCCATCAGGAAAACCTCACCTACCCTGACCTCCAACAGGAACTTGGAGTGTGGGGTGGGGCTGGGGGGCAGATTTCAGGCCAGTTCAGTCAACAGGCTCTCCCCACATCAGCTGGGTCACACAGACCCTTGAGAGACAAGACAGTCAGGAAACATTAAGAAGTCCAGCACTGGTTGCTTACCTATATTTTTTTTTTTTTTGGAGGCAGTCATATTTGTTAAGGACTTACTACGTGCCAGCTAGGTGGCCCAGTGGATAGAGTACCAGGCCTATATTCAGAAAGACTCATCTTTTTGACTTCAAACCTGGCCTTGGACATGTACGCACTAGCTGTGTGACCCTGGGCAAGCCACTTAACCCTGCTTGCCTCAGTTTCCTCATCTGTAAAATGAGCCGGAGAAGCAAATGGCAAACCACTCCAGTATCTTTGCCAAGAAAATCCCAAATGGGGTCACGGAGAGTTGGACATGACTGAAAAATGACTTGACTTGTGCCAGGCCCTGTACTAACAGCTAAGGATACAAAGAAAGGTGGAAAATAGGCCTGCCCTCACAGTCTAATTGGGGAGACAATGTGGAAATCACTAGCTACAAACAAACCCTAGAGAGGATAAATAGGGAACGGTCAGCATTGGGAAGGCACTAGAAATAAGGATTGAGAAAGGGCTTCTTGTAGAACTCAGGATCTTAGCTAGGTCTTGAAGGAAACCACCAAGTTGGGGCAAGGGAGAGATGGGAGTCCGGATCTTTTTTTTTGTTTTGTTTTGTTTTGTTTTGGGCAAGGCAATTGGGGTTAAGTAACTTGCCCAGGGTCACACAGCTAGTAAATGTCAAGTGTCTGGTCTGAGACTGGTTTTGAACTCTGGTCCTCCCGACTCCAGGGCCGGTGCTCTATCCTAGTTTCCCCTTGGGAGTATGGATCTTCAAGGAAGCACCAAACAAGGTCATTGGAAGTCAAAGGACACGGTTTCAGAATCTCACCTGATGGCTTGGGACCTTTGAGTCATTTCACCTCTGAAGCCTCAGTTTACTCATTTGCAGAATGGATTGCAGCTGACCTCAAAGGTCCCTTCCAGTTTATGTCCCCAGGAGTGTGTATTGGATATATCTTTATGTTTGGGGTGATGGTATGTTTCCAGTTCCTTGGGAAAGTCAACAGGGTCCCCCTCTTTCTAAGTTAGCCCTTCTCATGTACCTTTTTTTCCTCAGGGCATTTTCATCATCCAAGGATCTTGGGGAGTCCTTGCCCTCACCTACTCCTTCCCAGAGCCTCACTGCTCCCCACCCCACATGCACCCCAATCTCTCCATCTAGATAATTTTGAGTCAGCATAGAGTAAGAGAACATTTCCTCCCCCGAATTTTATCCATTTCAATAAAAACAAACCAAAAAAAAATGACCCTTGGAATTCTCGTTTCTTGGGAAGATGGGAAGGTAATGGGGATTGGGTGCGGGGAGGCCAGGAACCATCAGTTCTGTGCATGTCCGTGGCTCTTAAATTGACGCATCTGCTCTATTTCTGTGCCTCTCTGGCTTCTGTGGTCTCCCATCATCCGCTCCTGTCTCAATTTCTCCTCCATCTTATCCTCTTTCCAACTGTCATACTCCCCACCACCCACCCCTTTTTTTCTTTGGGGCCTTGTTTCTCTGTTTCTTTCTCAGACATTTTCCTTGGTGCTGTCTCCTTAACGTGTGCCGCTGGGTCGGCCTGGGCCACAAACCAGCCCAGACTCCCTCCCTCCTTCCCTCCCCACCATGATCTAATTTTGCAAACACCAGCTCCAATCCTCTTAGCCTGGCCTGTCCCTGGGGCCTTCTCAGCAGGTTAGAGGGGATTTGGGGGAGGGAAGGGTGGCAGAGCCTGATGGGAAATGGGGACACCAAGTCCCCATCCTGTTGAAACAACATTTGTAGCTGCCCCAGTGACAACTGGGAACTCGGCACAAAAACCACACCAGCAAGGCTGTCTTAAGAAAAATCCCCTGCATGGGCAGTGAGGCACCCCGGGGTTCCAGGTCTTCTCAGCTAAGTGGGCTTTCCAAAGAAGCCTGATCAGAGACTTAGCACACGTCAAAGAAACAGACTCGTCATCTGAAGCTTTTTACCTGCATGACTGTACCTGTGAAATGATGGGCTTGGAGCAGAGGTGCCTTCCACCTCTAGAGTTACGATTCTAAGACTTAATTAAGTTTCCTTGTCTTTCTCCCCACCCATAGTGCACCCTATAATGTACAAATGAAAGCTTGGCCGATTTGAGAGTTGGCCAAGACTTGGGGTTGGATTTTGGCCCAGATATCTAATAAGTGATTAAGTCAGCCGGCCAATCGGTAGGGTCTGCCTATCTGGATGGGGGGGGGACTAGAAGGGGCCTTAAAAGTCACCCAGGCCAACCTCATCATTTTACAGTCAGGGAAACTGAGGTGCAGAGAGTTTAAGATACTTGACCAAGGTCACAAAAGTATACCAAGTGGCATAGCCTCAATGCCCACACTAGTATTTCTGCTCCACCATGAAAACCTATTTCCTGCAGGGTTGTGGACACGGGTTGAGTCCCAGAGACCAGTCTTGGGTCATACAGGACGCTCCTCCCCCTCCCTTTATGAGAGGGAGGGGGTAGATTAATGGAGGCCTTAATCCACCTAATCCCTGGGACAGATGGAAGAGAGAGAGCAGGGGGCAAAGTTGGCCTAGTGGAGGGCCTTCCCCCTCCCTTGCCTGGACCAGGCTCCCTCTGGAAACACTGGGCTCCCCAGGAGGTTTCTGGGTTATCGGACAGATTCGGGAGTGTCCTCAGTTCAGGGCCATGATCTTTCCCTCACTGCTTTCCGGAAGGCTCCTACCTCTATTTTCTATGGGTGGCAAGTCAGGGCAGATGTCCGTGGCCCCTGAACCAGGGATAGGTAATCTTCACCTGGGAAATCTTGTTTTCCCCCAGAACACAGGGCCGTGGCCCATGCCTGGGGAGCTGAGGGACAGAGAGAGGAGGAGGCTGAGGGACAAATAGAAGATCTGGGGACAGAAGGGAAAGATTAAGGGACCTCTGCAGAGAGGAAGCCGGAGGACAGAAGCAGGAGACAGAGAAAGGAGGGCTGGAGGATAGGAAGGGGTTCAGGCCCTCATCTCTGGGTTATTTTAATAGCTTTTAAATTGGTCTCCACGCTTTGGGTCTCCTCAGCCCAATCCCCTCCACCTAGCTGCCAAAGAACAGTTCTGTCCATGTCCCACACTCCACTCAAACTCTGGCAGTGCCCCATTACCTGTAGGATTCCATCTAAAGCTCTTTACCACTTGGTTCCATCCTTATTCTTCTGATCCAACCATATTGATCTCATGCCTTTGTACTGGCCATCCCTCATGCCAGAACTGCCCTCCCTCCTCACCATGAACCCATGGTTTCCTTCCAGATTCCAGTTAGGCACCACCTTCTACACGACCCGGCTTGGAATCTTGTTTATCGAACTACTATTTGTTTATTGAACAAATCACGTAACCTTTCTGAGTCTCAGTTTCCTCTTTTGTAAAATGGGGAGGGGGGCAACTGGGTGGTGCAGTGGATAGAACTCTGACTTTGGAGTCAGAAGGACCTGAGTTCAAATCCAGCCTCAGGTACTTGAAACTTACTAGCCGTGTGACCCTGGGCAAGTCACTTAACCCTGATTGCCTTAACAAAAACAAAAAAATATAAAATGGGGAGAAAGATGACTTCTAAAATCTTTATCAGCTGTGATTCTATGGTGCTAGTACTGAGAGAGAAGATGGAGGGAGAAAAGGAGCCTGGGGAGTGGGGCAGTCAGAGACTAAGAGATAGCAACAGAAAGGAGAGCCTGCATGTGGGGGAGTAACCTGAGAAAGGGATGCTGAGTCTGTAGAAGTCGAGGCAGGCACCTCCTGGGCTTTAAGGCGTCCCTGGTGAGCTTGGGCTGTTTCTAAAGACGCTTGTCCGAGCGAAGGAGGGGCTGGTCAGAAGCCAACAGTGGGGATGTTATAAGGCATCCCCGGGGGGAGGGTGCCCAGCTGCCTGCATCCCCTGCTGTCCATGGTGTTTGGGCCATGGCTCCTACTGCTCTCCTGCTGGGTCTCTTGGCATCCCTTTGGGGGGTCTCCACTGCAAGTGTGTCTCTAGCTAGCTGTTTGACCTTGGGGCCTGGGGACCACAGAGGCCCCTGGACCTCCCAGGTTAACGCTCTGCTTTCCCTCTCCCTCTTTTCCAGGGTCCCTCTTGAGCCGGCTTGGGGACCACATCCAACAAGTGCAGGCTAGGTTGGGCCAGAAGCTGGGGGAGCCAAGTCCAGTGAGGGAGGGCTGGCTCTGGCAGCCCCTGGATCCTTTCAACAGCTCTGACCAGCGCTCCTTTCTCCAGGTCAGCCTCAGCCCTGGCAGTCACTTTCTCCCACAGACCGCCCTCCTAACCCCACCTCAAGGACCTTCCCTCAACTCTACCAGGATCTGATGTCTCAGAACTCCCTCCCCAGTAGAATCCAACTTCTCTCCCCAAAAAGGCGCCGTAGCCTCGCTCCAGGCCTGTAACCAAATGCTCTTCTGGGGCACAAATCCCAGCAAAACAGCTCATATCCTAGCCCCTAGGCTCTGATATCTGTCCTCTAACCCATCTTCCTGGACCCCATCTTCTCCACCTAAACAAGCCCCCAAGGCCCAAAGTTTTCTTCTTGGCCTCAAAGTCCCCCATCCCCTCCCCAAAGTTTTTCCCAACCTTATTCAGTCAGTCTGACTTCTCTTCCCCTACCCCAGCCCCACTCAGGGCCAGTCCCCAACCTTTTCCCCAATAAAATATGCTAAGGATCAAATTGTCTTATCCTCTCACCCTCCCCTAGGATGGATTTCTCTTCTGCCGACAGTCCAGACACAATATCTGCTGTCTGGTCCCCTGGGATTGCCAACCCCATGGTGACAGACAGGAGTCTGGGACATAGACTTGCTAGGGAATTCCCTGGCCCTCTAATCCCACCATCAGCCTGGGAGAATAAAAGCATTGAAGGCCAGGATCAACAGAGAAGCAAGATGGGGTTTAGGGTTAATGCTCAGAAAGGCCATGTCGTTTTAGGAGGAGTGATGGATCTGAAGTCATGCAAAAGTTGGTGTGAGGGTGGAATGAGTTACTTCACTTCTTTCTAGCCCAGTTTCCTGGTCCATAAGATAAATTTCAGACTGGGAGCTTCCTTTCTCGCTGGGTGCTCGTGAAGAAAGTAATTTGCAAAACCTTCAGGGGCCAGAGTAATAAGAGTTGTTGTCTGTCCTTGGGTGCTGAATGCGACTGCTTCCTCCTACCCTGCTCAGCGATACTGGGTGAATGCCGGACACTGGAGATCCCCGGATGGCCCTGTTTTCCTGCACATTGGGGGTGAAGGCAGCCTTGGGCCAAGCTCTGTGCTTAAAGGTATAAAAGGCTGCAGATAGGAAGCCTCGGGTGCAGATAGGAGGCTTCGGGAGGGAGTAAGCTCTCCATCACTGGAGTTACTTAGGCTGAGGCCGGATGATGCGGAGAGGATTCCCATATTGGTTGGACTAGATGCCTGTGAACGGGTATTGGGCATGGGGGAGGGAGTGGTCAATGGGCCACTTCCATCATCTTCTTCCCTCAGGTCACCCTGGGACCCTGGCCCCACAATGGGGGGCTCTGGTGGTATCCCTGGAACACCGATTTTATGGACACAGTATCCCCCCAGGGGGACTAGATATAGCTCAGCTCCGCTTCCTGTCTAGCCGCCATGCGTGAGTAGGTGTTGGGGAGGGAGAACAAGGGTGACTGAGGAGGACCTCCATCCATTTTCCCCAGCTCTGAAGGGTCCATTTGGGGTTCCCCCAACACCCTGAAGGACTTCAGGTCTAATCTGGCTCTCCTCCCACCAGGGTGAGATTCTCCACCTTCCTAGGGTGTGAGCTGCTCATTTACCTTGGATTTTCTTCTGGCTGGGAGGGTGCTCTGGGCTGGGCAATGGGGATCCCATCCTGCGGAGGCCTGAGCTGCCCCAGCTGAGCTCCCAGATCTGTCTGGGTTTGCCTAAGGAGTATGCAAGGGTTTGGGATTTACCAGCTGTCTGTTGTCTCTATATTACCACCTTCCTCTTCAACCTTCTCCTCTCTTTCTGTGTGTGTGTGTGGGTGGGTGGGTGGGTGTGTGTTTCTGTCTCTGTCTTTCTTCTGGGAACCACAGGATGACAAGATCATAAGTCGAGAGCCCATTCAGTCCAACTACTTCATTTTATAGAGGAGGAAAGTGAAGTGAGTTGACTTGCCCAAGGTCAAACAGCTAGCAAGTGGCAGAACCAGGATGTGAACCCAGGTGCTTCTTGTGACTCCAGATCAGGCATTTGCCCACTGGATCATGCTCTCTCTGTTTCTATCTCTTCTCCGCCTCTCTTCTTGCTCTGTATTCCATCTGCTCTGTAGTCTGGCTGATGTTGCCTCTGCCTGCATCCACCTCTCTCGGATCTACAATATCTCAGCCTCCAGTCCCTGGATCAGCTTTGGAGGTTCCTACGCTGGCTCCCTGGCTGCCTGGGCCCGGCTAAAGGTTCAGGATCCTTTCTCTCCAGTCCATGGTGGGGGTGGAGGGAGGGTGGTTGAGGGCAGGAAGGGGCTGAGGCTAGGATAGAGAAATCATCCAGAATTCAAGCAGCAGCCTCCTCAGGAGGCCCAAGTTAAGGATCCATGACATAGGCCTACGTAGTTGAGTTATCGAGAGGGACATCCTCGGACTCATGATCCATTCTTCACCCCCCATCCTCCTAGTTCCCCCACCTCATCTGGGCAGCTGTGGCCTCCTCAGCTCCTGTGCAAGCCCAGCTGGACTTCTCCAGTTACAATCAGGTAACTACAGAAATCAATCTTCAGAGTGAGGCTGGATTGGGAAGGGTGTGTGGAAGGGTTGGTGCTGGAATTGGGAAGGGGTTGTAGAGGGGACTCGGGAAAATGTGTGATGGGGGCTGAGGCTGGAATTGTGAAAGAAGCATAGAGAGAACTGGGATTGGGGAAGGGCTGTGAAGGTCAGATGTAGGATGCACTGCTCTGCTTTCCACTCCCAGGTAGTATCCAGGAGCCTGGCAGACCCGGCAGTGGGTGGTTCCCCTAAGGTATTCTCCAGGGGCCAAGTGGACATGGTGGGCAGGGACTTTTCGAAAGTAAATTCCTTGGGAGTAGGAATTATTTCATAAAACTGGCATTTGGCAGACATTTAGTATAAGCTTGCTGGGTGAGCCTGGGGAAAGGAAAGGAATGAATTGAAAACATCTTTGGGTGATGCTTTGGGGACCCAAATACAAAAGTGAGACAGTCCCTGCCTGAAGGGAAACCATTTACATTCTAATAGGGTAAACTACATATTTGGGGGTGGGGTGGCCTGAGAAGGGAGGTTTGTCTAGGGAGTGCTGGGCATGGAAAGTGGACCATCTATTTCCATAAGGACTGAACAAGTCCAAGTTCTAGTCTGTTCTTGCCTGACCTTGAGAATTTCCCTTATCTGGGCCTCAGTTTCCTCATGCAGAAAGTTAAGGGATTAGCCAAATGATTTCTAGGCTTCCTGCATCTACAATTCAAATATGGACTCTGCCATTTATAACCTGTGTGACCTCGACCAAAGTATTTCACTTCCTGGGCCTCAGTTTCCTCCTCTGTAGAATTGGGGGGTGAGGCAGAGAGACCAGAGAGCTTCTGCAGGTCCTGTCCAGTTCTAGGCCCACGGTCCTGCAATGACTCTGGTGTCTGGTTCCTGCTAATGGAGGACAGAGACAACCCAGGTATCCACAGCTGCAGCCAGCTGGAGGGAAAAGGAAGACAGACCTTGGTATTTGGGCACAGGAAGGAGGGAGGAAGGACTTCTGACTGAGTTCCATCCTGGTAGTGCCAGAGGGCTGTAGCCCAGGCCTTCTCTGAGCTAGACCATGGCCTGTCTGAGGGAAAGGAGACTCAGGCTGTGTTGCAATCAGAGGTAAGGGCGTGTGGGCCCCTGGAGACCCCTGAGGACCAAGCCGAGCTCCTGGAGCAGCTGGAAGGGCTGGTGGGGGCAGCTGTGCAGTACGACCAACAGGCTGGAGTTCCCCTGGACGTGAGAGGCCTCTGCCACCTTGTTTTGGCCAACCAGAGCAGAGAGCCCCTTTCAGGACTCCAGGATGCCATCCAGGTAAGGGTCCAGACCTGCCGCCAGGGACCCTGAGTCTCTGAGGACCCAGCTTCCTCCCTGAGACTCGGGTATCCTTCCCATAGCTTGTGCTGAAGGCTCTGGGTCTCCCCTGCCTGCCCAGCTCAAAGGCAGCTGCTGTGGCTGAACTGAAGGACACCAGTCCACAGGCCGTGGGCCTGGGCTCCAGGCAGTGGTTCTATCAAACGTGTACAGAGTTTGGATACTGTGAGTGATCCTCTCTCCACCAGCCCTGAAAAGCCCAAAGAGCCCAGACAAGACACAATACCATCCGTCTTTGTTTTGGGTCTACCATTCTGCTCACATCAAGGACCCACAAAAATGACTCACCTTCACCAACCCAGGGAACTCGTGCCACCCATATCTATGCTTGGGGTCCATAGACAATACCTCTCTGGGTATGCCAGGGGGTCCCATGGCAGAATCAGTTTCCCAATTGGACAGGACCTCAGCCACCATATACTGCAACCCATTCAAGAAAGGAATCTCCCACAAGTGGTCCTCCTGTCTCTCCTTGAAGCCCCTCCAGAGGAAGGGAGCCTCCCCCCTTCCCTTCCCCCCACCTCACCTCCCAAGGCGGCTCATTCCATTCCTGGGCAGCTCTAACCACTGGGAAATCTTTCCTGACATTCAGTCTAAATCTGCCTCTTTGTAACTTTCATTCAGTCAGCATACCTGGTTGTCCAAACAGAACACGCCTAATACCTGATAATACTCCACAAGTGTGTCCCAGCCCTCTACCAAAACATCATGTAACTAGGAACCTCCCACACAACGCACCCAAGTGTGCACCAGAGTGTACCTCTAACCCTAACCTACCACCCCTGAACATTTGCTAGGTGGCCTCGTAGTTTCTCCCCATAGTCTCCTTCTTCTGCCCCAGCAGACATCACCTGCAAGGACTCCAGCTGCCCCTTCTCCAGGCGCAAGATGCTGTCAGCCCAGCTTCAGCTTTGCGCACAGGTGTTTGGACTCTCCCCGGCCTCTGTGGCCGAAGCTGTGACCCGGACCAACACCTACTATGGTGGTCGGAGCCCAGGGGCTACTCGGGTGTTCTTTGTCAATGGTAAGGGGTTGATTGGGGTATCTTAGAGTCACCTTTACTTGTTCTCTCTCTCAGTATCTCCCTTCCTCTTCCTGCTCCCAGGTGATATTGATCCTTGGCATGTGCTGGGTGTGCTCCAGGTCCTTGGACCCTCGGAGCCAGCCATGCTCCTGAGGGGTACATCACACTGCTCAGACATGGCCGCACCCCAGCCCTCAGACCCCCCCAGCCTATACCTAGGACGCCAGGTTAGCAGGGACTGATTCGGGGTGGGCATTTTCAAGGCCATGCCTCTCACCATTTCCTACCTCTAAATCAGAAGGGACATAATGGTGAGGGTGGTGGTGGGGGTATCTGGGGACTCAATTCTAACTCTATCCTTCCTTCTCAATAGAAGATTATTCAACAGCTCAAGGTATGGCTCCAAGAGGCAAAAGTAGATCTGGGCAGTCCCTGAGCCTTGACAGGCATGCCCAAACCACCAGCTGATCAATGAGCATCTCGAATACCCTGATACTTACCCTTCACCAAGCCTGAACTGCCTCCTCTTTCCCTGAGCTGGGGGACCACAAGGGAGTCTTAATCAACTCATCTTCTCACTCACTTCTCACACCCCTAGGCATCTCACCTGCAAACACACAGATCCACAAAATCCGACATCTTTTTGGCAAACCCTAGCATGTCATCACAAAGAGTTCAGAGTTGCTGTCAACAACTGCCCCTTCAAAACAAATGAGGCTCCTCATCAAGACAAGGTCAGCGGGGCAGCTAGGTGGCGCAGTGGATAGAGCACTTGCCCTGAAGTCAGGAGGACCTGAGTTCAAATCCAGCCTCAGACCAAACACTTGACACTAGCTGTGTGACCTGGGCAAGTTACTTAACCCCAACTGCCTAAAAAAACCCCAAAAACTAAAAAACAAGGTCGGCGCCTTCTCTGCTGACGTCCACATTGCCTCAGTAAACAGCCATCTTTCCCCTGAAACACCTGCTTTGCTGTCATAGCTCATGAGCAAACATTTATCACTCATTTCTGGAGGGTCTCTAGGCTGGACAGCAGGATAGCTCAATGGGCAGAGCACTGGATCTAGAGGGAAGTTATTTCTGATAATCCCAACTCTCAGGGTGACCTTGGCCAAGTTACTTTACTTCTCAGGACTCAATTTCCTTGTCTGTAAACTGAAGGGGTCAGACTAAATCATACACAAAGTCTCTTTAAACACCATAACCTAAGATCTCAATCTTTGAACATTTGGATTTTATTTATTAATATCTGCATACAATCAGCAAGTGTCTATGCCTCACCTGTAAACACCTAAACCAACAAAAATCTGTTTTTCCCCAGGAAATTGCCATACTATCATCATTAATTACAACATTCTCTCATCGGCAAACTCATTCATTTGTGAACAATGGTATCTCTGTCCCCTACAGGGCAAAAAGCTCGATAGCCTTCCATGAAGATAAATATTTGCTTTCATCTGAAAATGTTTGCTGTCTTCTTGTATCCCACTGGGCGTTTGGACACTCTGAGGAGGGCAGAGGGAGGTCCTTTCCACTAGCTCCCCAGGTTGTTAGATAGTGATTTCAAAGTCTGGGATGAGCCAGTCTGCTGGAGAGGCCCCCAGCCCCCCTCCTTCCTCATCCAGGTCGACCCCTGTCTCTTCCCGAAGCGCCTGGATCTCTAGGCCCAGGGTGCACAGCTGGTTAAAGAGGTGTATGTCCATCCTCCGCAGGCTCCACTGTTGGGGAGGGAGAACACTTGTGAGGGGAATGGGCAGACAGACCTCAGAAGGGGAGCCAGGCACTCCTCCCTGCCCCTCCCCCCCACCCCGCAGGTATAGCATGCCCCACCCCTGCTTCCTACTTTGGGAACCGGCTTCCCCAGTCCTCCCCTCACTGCTGGGCACGGCTCTTGCTGGCCCAGTCTCTGTCTCCTTCTCCCCCATCTCTGTGTCTCTCTCTCCTCTTTCTATGACTGTCTCTGTTCCTAGCTCTGTTTTAGTCCATGTAATCTCTCAAAGACAAGGTAAGGCAGAAAGACTTGGTCTGGGGGTAGTGTTAAGAGTCACTCCCCACGCCAGGGGCAAGGCACCTCTTTTCCTACTTCCCCCACCTCACCACCTGCTTCTGTGTCTGTCTTTTCCTTTCTCCATCTTTATTCTGCCTGTCTCTGACTGGCTCCCTGCCTGTCTCTTCCCCTCTGTCTGTATCTAGGTCCCCAGAGCTGCGTCAGCTGCCTTCTCCATCCTCCCTGAGTCTCCCTCTGCTGGTCTATCCCCCATTCCCGTCTCACCAGCTCGGTGTCTTTGTCTCTGTCCATCCATGCCTCTCTCTCTCTGCCTCTGTGATTCTCTGGCTCTACACCTGTGCCTGTGTCCATGTCTGTAGTGATGCCCATGGTTCTCTAGCTCGAGCTCTACCTCAGCATCTCTGTGATTTGGTGTCTCTATTTCAGCATCTGTCTGTCTTTGTTTTCCGGTCTCTTTGTGTGCCTATCTCTCTCTATCTCAATGTCTCTCTCTGTGTCTGTCTCCATCTCTCTCTCTCTCTCTCTGCCTCCCTTGCTCTCTGTCTGTCCATCTCTCTTTCCCCCCTCACTGGCTCTGCCTCCCTTTCTGTCTCTCTCCCCATCTCTCTGTCTCTACCTCTATCTCTCCCCATCTCTCACCCTATCTCTTTCTTTCCCCCTATGTCTCTGTTTCTGCATCCCCTTCTATCTCTCTCCCCATCTCTCTTCCCCCCATCTGTCTCTCCCTGTCTCTTTCTCTCTCTCTTCCCCTCATTTCTGTCTCTGCCACCCTTTCTCTCTCTCCCTACATCTCTCTCTCTCTTCCCCCATCTCTGTCTCTCTCTCCATCTCTCTCCCTCCCCTCATCTCTGTCTCTGCCTGTCTCCATCTCTTTCTCTCCTTCCATCTCTGTCTCTCTCCCCATCTCTTTCCCTGTCGCTCTCTCTCTCCCCCCATTTCTGTCTCTCTCCCCCATCTGTCTCTTTCCGCATCTCTGTCTCTCTCTCCCCTCTGCATCTGTCTCCTCACATCTCTCTTTCTCTCCCCCTGCATCTCTTTCTCTCTCCCCCCACATCTTTCTCTCCCCCCCATCTTTGTCTCTTTTCCTCCTGCATCTGTCTCTCTCCCCGTCTCTATTTCTTCCCCATCTCTGTCTCTCTCTCCCTCCTGCATCTCTGTCTGTCTCTCTCCCCCCGCATGTCTGTCTGTCTGTTTCTCTCTCTGCATCTGTCTGTCTCTCTCTCTCCCCCTGCATCTGTCTCTCTTTCCCCCCATATCTGTCTGTCTCTCCTCTTGCATCTATCACTCTCCTCTCACATCTGTGTCTCTCTCCCTCTCCCCATCTCTGTCTCTCTCCCCATCTCTGTATCTCTCTCCTCTCGCATCTCTCTCTCCCTCCCTCCTCTCATTTCTGTCTCTTCCCCCATCTGTCTCTTTCTCCCCACATGTCTCCCTCCCTCCCCCATCTCTCTCCTCCCACATCTCTCTCTCCCTCCCTCCTCTCATCTGTCTCTTCCCCCATCTCTATCTCTCTCCCCGCATCTCTGTCTCTCTCCCTCTCCCCATCTCT